GCTCGCAGCCATGTAGAGATCATCTTCTTCAGCTCCTCCATGCCTCCCCCTCCATCCTCTTTGCTCTGCTTGTCTCGCTTCACCCTCACGCTCCACACCAGCAGGTACAAGGCCCGCCTCACGATGAAGTACTGGTTCGTCTTGGCGTAGATCTGCTGCCCCCCGAAGTCCATCACGTCAAACGTCAGCCCGTCAGCGTCCTCAGGCTTCCACTCGTGCAGGTCTATCCCGATCGTCCTCCTGTCTACCTCGATCTTGTCCGCCTTGTCCTTGTCTGACCTCAGAGCTCTCAGCACGCTCGTCTTGCCTGCCTCTCCGTTGCCTATGAGGATGACGTTGATCCGCTTGTTCGCCTCGCTGTCTCTCTTGACACTCTGCAGGTACGTGAAAGCAGCTGCCCCTCCCTGACTGGCGATCTCAGGGGGAGGCAGCTGCAGCCTGACGCAGCCCTCACACTTGACCTCCTGCAGGCTAGACTCCATGCTGCAGAGCTCGTCCAAGGGAAGGTGGGAGAAGCTGGGGTTACCGGACACGTCGATGACTTTAAAAGCGAGGCCGAGCTTGGAGATCCAGCGAGGCAGGCTCTTCATCCTCAGATCTCGTATCACATATCGTTGCATACTATCTGTCCGCAAAGACATGTTGAGCGTGCCTTCCTCGGTGTTGTAGCAGCTCCCGAGCTCCCCGCCCGACAGGAGCTGCTTCACTTCTTCGACAGCAGAGGTATCTATCTCTTGCATCCCTAAGATATAGTGGCACTTGACTAGATCCAGTCTCTCGGCAAATGGCTTCCCCACGTTGTTGACGTGCTCGCGGACCTTCTCGATCTTGGCGATGGCGTCCTGTATGCTGGGTCTTGACGATACAAGATCTTGCTCGAGGTTGTGCACGCAGGAGCGTCGATCCTTGCAGTGCTGGCACATGTTTTCTTGCCTTTGATCTTCAGATTCATCATCGTAGGAGCAAACGCAGCACTAGGAAAAAAACAGCCGCAACCCAGAGCATGCCAGCAAAGACCCGAATGGCAAAATACATGTCAGCCAGTCTTCTCTGACCGCATCTTGCAAGATGGTACTTACCACCTATCCAGTCCCATTCACACCCCAGCCAATGAGAAAACCCAAGAAAAAACAGAAAATGTCAGCCAATCATCCCCTGAGCGAATCATATGATATGACACTTACATCCTATGAAGACGAATTTATTCCAGGCAAGCAAGGAAAAACCAGGAATTTGCAAAAATTAAATGTCAAGACAATCGTCCCCTGAGTGCATCATATGATATGACACTTACTCCCTATGAAGACGAATTTGATCCATGCAAGCAAGGAAAAACCAGGAATTTTCAAAATACATGTCAGCCATATCGCCCCCTGAGCGCATGATTTTATAATCATCACTTACCAACTGTCCGGACAAATCAACAACCCATCCGATGAGAAACCGAGAAACAAACGAAACATGTCAGCCCAATCGTCCCCTGACCGCATCATATCATATGACACTTACGATCTACGAAGGCGAATTCAGTCCATGCAACCAAGGAAAAACCAGAAATTTGCAAAATACATGTCAGTCTATCGTCCCTGACCGCATCATATGAAATAACACTTACTCCCTATGATGACGAATCGAATCCATGCAAGCAAGGAAAAACCAGGAATTTGCCAAACAAACGTTAGTCCAATCGTTCCCTGACCGCATCTTTCATCATCGTCACTTACCCGCTATACCGCGCCATCCACGGTACATCCGAGCAAATACCGACACATACATGAAAGAAATGTCAGCCAATCATCCCCTGACCGCATCTTTGAGCACTTACATACTATTCAGTCACATTCATGACCCGTCCGATGAAACACCCACAAAAGTGCAAAGGACACGTCAGCCAATCGTTTCCCTGAACGAGCATATGCTGCACAGACTGATGCTTACCGCCTTCCGAATAACAACATGGCAGTTCACGGCAGAACGTAAAACACTCAAAGTCAGATGACGCCTACTAGGAGCTATTCAAATTACGCATTTTGTGCTGTCGTTGGTACCATACTCGACCACGATCTGGAGCAACACAAGTCAGGAGGTCAAGAAAAGTGTTGAGAGGAAGTGAAGGAGCCGCCAAGAAAGGAGTTGAATGATGGAAGGATCAGATGTGGGGGAGTAAAGCAAACATCTCCATCATCAAGCATGTCACTCAAGGTAATAGCATCTCATCCCAGCTGCTCCTTGCCTGGCACATGTCGCAGAGCATTGCGCGAAGGTTGTTAACAGAGGGTGGGGTAGGTTGAAGATTTCGGGTTGTAGGCGAATAGCTGGTAGGGGTAGTCGAATGAAGGAGGGAGGCAGGGGACTCGAATCATGCCGGTGAGAGCGATTCGATTTTATAAGTGAGACACTAGTAGCATTCAACGAGGGTGAGAGAGCGAAGGGTATTTGAGGTGGTACAACCAATCGTTTGACAAGTGCTCGGGTAGCGTGAGCAAGGACAAAGGTTGTTTTTCTGTACGGGTAGGGTGGGCAAAACAAACTCAATCGTAAGGGAGATATTGAACAAAATGCTCAATCTTTCAAAGATTGGAGTAGATATTGAAGAAGATATTGAAATCAAGACGAATATCACGGCTGCACCCGTCCAACATGCGTTTCCTAGTGACTCCACCTACTTGCCTATCATCGATATTCTCTATATCTCTTCCTAGTCTCAAACGCATATGCCCCTACCTACCAGCTCCATGTCCCCTCCACCTTCCCCTCCACCCCCCTCACTTTAAAGTTGACATGCCCCCAGCCCTCAGCCAACTCGACGGCTCTGAAAAGCGAAATGCTTTTGTGCTCGTGTCATCACGCGATATCAGCGCCTGTTGTGTCTTGTTCCTGCTCCTTGGGTCTCCCAACCTGCTCTTCGACTTCCTCCCATCCCCCGCATCCTTCCCCTTGCCCCAGCTGCTTCCCCCCCTCTTGTCCCGGCTGCGTACCCTCCCACCTGCCCTCCTTCCACCGCCATGCTCCTTCATCCTCTTGCTCTTGCCCCGGCTCCTCCTTCCATTGCCATGCTTCTCCTTCCTCTTCCTCGTGCCTTTGTCACTTTCCCCCTACACACACATTCCTGCTCCCTAGAATGGTTTGGCCTGCCTTGTTCAGTTTTCCACCGTCCGAAGCGAGTCCATCATGCGGATGTTGCCAGCCGCCTTGCTGTCCATCAGACACAGCAGCGGGGACAGCGGAGACATCGGAGATGACGGGGACAGCGGAGACATCGGAGATGACGGGGACATCGGAGATGACGGGGACAGCAGAGACATCGGAGATGATCGTTTCGGAGCCTCGCCTGCCTTGTCCGGCGGCGGGTGAGGGTGCAGATTCAGTGCAAGCAGCTGGAGACCTGGCAGATGATGTCATGACATCGGAGGTGCTCGTTGTTGGCAGCTCACAGTACGGCGCTGCAGGGGCTTTGCAGTGCCTGGACACAGATCATGAGCCGCGGGGTCGAGATGGAGAAGGTCAGGTTGACGAGTTAATCTTGCGAGCCTTGATGTCTTCGAATCTGCTTCGCCTTGTGGGGAACGCAAGCTACGTCCAGGGCTTGAAGGAGAAGATGCGGATTGAAGTGTCGCAGAGGAGGCGGGACTCGCTAGACTTTGCCGGGAAGCTTCCCTTGGCACTGAAGGCCTTGAGCATCGGCATCCCTGCCGATCAGCTTCTGATCGACGTTGCACAGGCAGGTGGGCTGCATGGCAAGAGCGACGGGTGTATCATAGTTGGGCCCCAGAGACAGGTCAGCGGGTCGAGTCGGGGTGAACCTCTGCCGATGTGCCGAGAGCCGCTGGAGGTGAAGTCGTCCTCGTGCGGGAGTGGTGACAGGACCTTCGGCATCAAGTCCATCCGCAGGTCCTTCCGTCATCTCTTCGTGGGAAGAAGGACAACCCTAACGACTGGTCGTCCCTTGACGCTCTAGACGACAAGTGCTCCCTCGGTTAGGATGTGACGGTGACGATGAACAGCAGGAAGAGGACCGGCTGGCTCTCGCAGCACATCCGGTGGGTGGGCTTCAAGGACCTGACGCTGCAGTGGTGGCAGGCTACGGTAGAGAGCAGTGTTTTGACACTTAGGTAGCCTGACCTAATCATCACTCAGTGATTGCTAGCTTCGATCCTCTTCTGCAAGGTGATGCACCTGACTGGTTGTTACCATCCGGTAAGCCAGAAGGCTTGGGGGCCGTGTATTATCTCCCCTTGGAGCAGTAAGGTGAAGCTGCTAGCAATCTCTCTGCTGCCATTGCTGATGCCCTCTAAGAGGTAGTGTCAGTGGGGACGGTGTATCAACAGCCGAACAAAGGTCTCCTCAACAGAACTTGTGCAGCGACTCGCTCGTATTCAGATATGGCAAGGAAGAAATTGTCAAACGATAAGACTACCGTGAAGCAAGGAGCGAGGACAATTTTTCTCATGAAGGGACAAAAAGCTCCCAGGCTGACCCGTCATGGGAGCATGTGAAACCGTTGGGGCCTGTGGAGTTTGATGTGATATTGTTGTGTTGGGGTCAACGAGATCATTGAGGACGAGCGACTTGTATTCTGAGACAGATCAAGCAGTGAGCTGGCCGTTCCTGAGTGGGGAAGGAGCAAACGGGGTGGGGAGGGGGAGGAGGACGAGGAGGGGAAGGAGGAAGAGAACGAGTAAAGGAACGGAGAGCATGTACCAGAAGAAGGATGAGAATGTTAAGAGTGATGGAGATGATCATGAGGATAGAGATGGTGCTGTTGTCCATAATGACGAGGACGAGGATAATGAGAAGGCGAGACTTGGCTGGTTACGGTGGGGAAGAATCGCAGACACGTTCACTCTTGCACGTCCGAAGGGCCTTCGCTGCAGCTGAGACAAAGGTAGATTGATTCCCTGGCCTGACACTCGCGATGCAGCTGAGCGGCCTGCCAATGTTGAGCAGCTGCATGCCGTGACACCGGTATGCGAGAATGAAGGGTCTGAGCTGAGAAATAGGCTGTCTGTGTAGCTAACGCAAGTCATCCGGGCACAGCTCGCGATGGAGTGCCACAGAGGAGCCGAGACTCTCTGGATCTTGCCGGCAAGCTGGCCTTGGCACAGGCTGGTGGTTTACATGGACAGAGCGTGAGGCGCGGAGGAGGGCAGGGGGAGACGCTGTATCGAGAGCCGCTGGAGGTGAAGTCGTCTTCTTGTAGAAGTGCGAAGGGCACCTTCGGCATCAAGTCACAACCACATGGTGTGGGATCATACGTTTGTCGCTACTTTCAAACTTGTCTCCTCCGGCATCGATCATCGTAGCGGCTGAGGCGTGCACGAGGTCGCCCGGAGGAAGGGAGGGGCTGAATACAGTCATATGTGTGAGCTAGCGTCAGTGCTCGTAAGTGCCGGCGAAGAAAGACTCTTGGTCTCAATCAGACATCTGCTCTCAATCTCAACCTTGCAGTCAAGACCGTCGAGGAAATGGTGAGCGAGAGGAGGTTAAGCGTTAAGCCTACCCCCCTCCTCATATGCTCCTCGCTGACTCTCCTGCAACCATCACTCGCTCGCTTTGACCGCTGGCATGCAATATGCCGCGACCTTAGGATTGTACAAGAACAAGAAGCTGCAGCTTGTACAGACAAGTTGCGACGTACTTGATGGGACGTGACTCGGACGGGCGATGTGATGACTATCTATCACATCATAGATAGAGCAGAGGATACAGACAACAATACAGACAACTTGTGTTAGTATTAGTAGTAGACTTGATTAGAGTACTAGTGTGACCTTGAGTTTAGCCTCTCTCACTCCACCAACGAGCAGCTGATATTGTGTATCCCGACAAGCGATACCTTCTGCGAGTAAACATTCTAGTAGCGATCACACGCTCATTCCACGCCTGCCCATCTCACGCCGTTGTGCTCCGGCTTGAGCAGAGAGCTCACCATCAACTTGACCATGTCCAGCAGGGTCCTTGTGACCTTCACGCAAGGTGAACAGCGCTTCCAGGGATACCAGTCTGACAGCAAACTGACTTCGGCTGCGTCATTGCCGTGCAGCTGGACGTAGTACTTCAGCTTGGCCTCGGTGCCGCTTCCATGCAAGTTTGCGATACCAGGTAGGATCTTGTAAGGAACCAGGGGTGCTGCTAGGGGCTGAAGTTAATCAGATGCGGCGGGAGACAGGGGTCTGAGATGAGAGGGGCCTTACAAGGAGGGGTACCTAGAGGAGTAGGGGTGATGGAGGGGGCTGAAGTTAATCAGATGCGGGGGTCCTCGTTCTCTGACTTCTGCTTCAACACGACGACGTTGCTCGCGAGAAAGTCGAGGAGACAATCGGGCACTGAGTTTCCATCAGGAACGATGATCAGCTTGAACTTCCACTGCTCCGAATGAGCCACTCGCTTCTTCACCACGTACCCCTCCCTCTTCATGATCTTGGGCAGTTGTTTCGACTCGGTCTGCATCACCCTGGTAAAGCGAGCATCGATGAGGTCTGGGTGATCCAACGAAGCCTTGACGATCTTGGTCCTCGCAAAGTTCCTCCAGTTGTCTTCGGTGTAGATGCCGCCAGTGGTTGTCCCCCTGAAGAAAGCTTTGCTGATCTTCCGTTCCAACGGAATGGTATCCGCTCGACAACTGCCACCACCCCCTCCTTCCCTTTCTCCTACACGCTACAGCTCCTGCAGCTTGTCCCTGTCCCTGCTCCTTGGGCCAGCCAAGCTGCTCTTCATCTTCATCCCTTCCCCATGCATCCTTCTTCCAACGCCATGCTCCTCTTTCTCCTCCTTGCCCCGGCGGAACCTGCTGCATGCTGCACCCTGTGTGGCCCTTGATGTTCGGATCTGCACCGGCGCCATTCTGTTGCCGCTATGCCTCTTGAATCAGCCCCGCCTCTACCAGTGAGCGGCTGATGTAGCTTCCAACTGGGTCCACCCATCTCATGGGGTATAGCGTTGGCCAGTTGACGAAGTTGATTGTTCCAGCTAACTTCCCTAAATGATGCAGGAACTCATAGGAGAGTGGTTGCCCGTTCGCTCCTACGTGATTTGAGATATGTATGAGCATTCGCAGCTCAGCCTCCTTGTCCTCGTCGGCTTCGTCCCGGAGGGCGAAAGGAGCTGTCTCAAGTGAAGATTCCATTGCGTCGAAGGGTCGCGAATCTCTCCGTCGCCCCAGGGTTCTCAAAGATTGTTATATTGCAGAATGAACTCATGCTTCCTAAGCTGATGTGTGAGCAGCTGTGCTGCTATTGAGCGATCTTTGGGCGCTTCTAATCTGCTGGTTGAAACCGCCGAGGTCCTTTTTGGTTGAACCCAGTTGGCCCAGGTGCCGGCGAGTCTTCTTCCGCTTTCTGCTTCCTTGATCTGCTGTTTGTTTCCTCGCTGATGCTCTTCCGTTTCTCGCTGGACTGACACACCCATACGACGATTTAGGAGCAGAAATCTCAGTCACTCACGGAGCAATGGGGCGGTAGCTGTGAGTCGATCATACAGCTACAGGGGCAGGTGTCAGCCGACGTCGGAAGAGTTTCCTGTCCTTGTTGCGGTAGGCCATGTTGTCCGATGTAAACACATGTTTTCATGTTCTTCACATCCTTGATAACTGCGCGGCAGGTCTAAGGTCGGTGTCAGCCTCCAGCACATCCTTGTCCGGGTGTCTATAGAGCAGGCTGAAATTGTGTGCGCTGCCGATTTCCCGGATCATGGCGAGGAACCGGTCAAAGCCCTCCTGCATGTAATTTCCAGTGACTTCCATGCTGATCTGTGAGTGAAGGGCCAAGTATGGTGGCGTCAGGGTGCGGGTTGGACAGCCTTCAACACAAAAAGAACCGAAATAGAAGGACAGGTGGAATTTGTTTGGAGGTGATATGATCTATCACCAGGCTGAACGTTCACGAGCTTCGTGCCGTGAAAGATTCAGCCTGGCTGGCTCATCAACAATCAGGCCAACCCCCAGTAGACACGGTAGCCATGTGCAATTGACAGCTCACAGCGGTTGTGATCACGGAAAAAAAGCAACAGCCTTGAAACCTGGAACGATCTTACAGGGCATCAGCAATATTACTGTGAGAGCTGTACATTAATGGTGGCGCTTGTATGCTCCTGGCGCACAAGGAGCTGCTCTAGAGCTACGTCATAGTATCCTTTTACTCTTCCAGAACAATCATAGAATTCCACACGCTTCACGCAAAGTTCACACCATCAATTCGACAGCTGGGGTTGAAGAAGAAAGCCTCCGTAAGCATTGACACAAACGGGGCCATCTGGACCATGTTGGTCTTGTTCATCACAGATTTCCTTGTCTCTTCCATCACATCGTTCAAACTCTTGTCCTCTACAAGGATGTTCGCCGCAAATACCGACATGAAAGGTCCCCCACGCCCTGGCTCCCCATCCTGTGCTACCTGTCCGGCCTGCGTGGAATAGACAACGCAAGAGTTGAC